AAAGTGCTGGGATTACAGGTGTGAGCCACCATACCCAGTCCAGTAATTCAGATTTTAAAAGAATGTGTACAAAATTGAAAAGTGGCAGAGTATACATACAATAATTTGGATACAGTAAAAGAGTGGTGGTAGCAGAAAAGCCAAAGACAAAAATGAGCTGAGGCTTATGAAACATAAGAATGACTTTAAAACCTTTTAGTGAAATCCATAGTTGGGTGAATTAAGGGGAGAGAAAAAGGAATAAGGTAGACTGTATGATGTTAGCAAGTCATATACAACAGTGCTATGCAGTGATGGAGCAGAATTAACTGAATGTTGTGCCTTAGTTTGGAAAAGAAAAAAAAATCAAGATAATTAAAGCAGAGAAATGTGATGAGACAGTAAATAGTAATGAATTTTCAGGCAAAAACAAAAAAAAAAAAAAAAAAAAAAAAAAAAAGTAAATTAAAAAAAATGGGAGGAACCTAAATGCTGTAAAGGTAAATACTCCCCAAAGCTGAAAAATACATATTCTAAACTTGATGGTACAGCCCGTAGTTTTCAAAACAGATTATTTCTTATTTAAACTGGGGGCTCCAAAGGGAGGTTCTGGTCCCATTATAGCTTGAGATTTCATCAGGTAGTTGATAAAAGGTATGCTTGTGTTTTGGTATCTGGGCCAAAGAAATGGGTGCTCTATAAAATTGCAGTTAGTTGATTTCTTGACTCAGAGACTATTCATCCTTAAAGAATATCAGCTGATAGATTAATGTCAGTCTGCTGAAGGGATATGTGTAGCAGAAAATAACCAGGAAAAAAAAAATTGAAATCTTCTGTTGATGTCTAAACAAACAGTTGTGGAATTATGGAATGGTAGAGACTTGTCTTAGCACCATCATCAGCAAAATGTCAACAGTGTGCTGTGTTTGCTAAGAAAGTAAAGGTATTCTTAAACATCATCAACTCCTAAGCAGTGTTTATGGAGGGTCCAGGGTTTGGGACTAGAGGTTGATAGCCTCAGTTGGCTTACCCATTGATCTTTATGGAATATTGTATACAGTATAGGGTTTTACATATTAAAAGGGATCTAGACAAATGAGAGTGCATCTAAACAAGTGGGAGGGTATAAAACCATGTGACTGGTTTAGGGAAGAGGACACTTAGATATTTTAGAGTTTTTCAAATGTGTTGTGGGGCTTCTGAGTGGTGGCCAGTGGTAGAAATTTTAGAGCAGATTTTGATTTATTAAAACAAATTTATAGTATTTATAAGATCTTCAGAGATGTCTAAAACAATTTCTCTTGGTGTTGGGGATATTTTGATAGAAGATACATGCCTGGGGTTCATGTTGGGAGAATTTTTGTACTATGTGTGATTAAGCAAATGGTTCTGAACCTTTAGTTCTCTGAACAACTGCTGCAGGTTGATGAAGTAGTGGTGGTCGTGGTGGGGCATTTGAGCATTGTAATGTTCGATACAGCAGAATAATGTTTGATACAGCAAAATAGTGTATATGACATTAGTTATGAAGCACAGGAATGCTGTGTCAAATATTATAGAATCTACAGCATTAGTTATGAAGCAGTCCTCATTTCGTGAATGAACGCTTGTGAAGCCACTACTTACAAAAGGACTAAAGCATTTCCCAAACCCATACTCATTGCATGTTTCTGTAGTAATTTAGCTATAATCATAAACTCTTGCTAGGGTAACATTCCAAGAAGCTCTGATTGCCAGGACTTATGGAATGGAAAGTTTTAAAAACAAAACTTTAAAAAATAGGTTTATGGAGAAATAGAATAAATGGGGCTCTTGCATACTAAGATTGGAAACAAATGGATTCAGTTCATTAATTCAGTAAGTACACGAACCACAGGCACAGTGAGATTGTAAGAAAGAGACTTGTCTAAAATCACAGAGTTACTATTAGAACTGCAATCAGAACTTGCTCTGACTTGAGTGTTCTGAATAACATTCCAGGAAGTGATGATATTCTTTTTTCCTGTTTATAAAGATAGTACACAGTTGGTCAAATTCAACAGTGAATAAGATTGTAAAGTCCTTGAGGACCGGAACTATGTCTTAGTCATCTTTTGATTTCCATCATTATTATCTTATATGTTAATTTGTGTTCTGTTATGAAATTGAGTGATATATCTTAGAGACTGAAAAAAATCATGCTACAAAGACTTCTTATCTTTCTTATTAGAGTAAGTTCTCTGAGAGCTGGAACCATGACTTGTTTAACTTTCATGCTCCAGAAACCTAGCTCTTTGTTCCCTTTGTTTACCCCCACCAAATACTTATTGAGGGCCAGCTGTATTCCAGGTACTGTTCAAGGACTTGGGGACACACTGGGTAATAAAATCTTATGCAACTTAGTGTTATTAATCCAAGAATCACATAGATGTTTATAAAAATACAACTTAAGTGGTAAATGCATTGTATCCTCTAACCAGATAGATGCTTATATATGAAGCATGGTTTTTATTTTTATTTTTATTTTTTTTTAATTTTTTTTTTTAAATTCTTTTGAGATGGAGTCTCACTGTGTCACCCAGGCTGGAGTGCAGTGACATGATCTTTGCTCACTTGTGTTCAAGCGATTCTTCTGCCTCAGCCTCCTGAGTGGCTGGGACTATAGGCACATGCCGCCACACCCAGCTAATTTTTTGTATTTTTAGTAGAGACAGGGTTTCACCATGTTAGTCAGGATGATCTCAATCTCCTGACCTTGTGATCTGCCTGTCTCAGCCTCCCAAAGTGCTGGGATTACAGATGTGAGCCACCACGCCTGGCCTCTGTACATTTTTTAATCTAGTCATCTGAATTTCCCGATAACTTGCAATAATTTTTTTTTTCTAAGTTTGATATATTTGTTTACCTGGAAAATCACTATTTTTTCCCCCGTATTTATTACAATACTATGGTTACTTATAGAAGATTTTTCAACATTGAACTAATTTTACCATGTTTTAGTGCATTTTTCTTTTTCTGTTTATTTCGGATGTTTGCATCTATATTTTTAAGCAAATTTTATATATAGTTTTATTTTATACTGTTCTGAGGCTTTGATATTGGTGTGGTGCTAACTATATAGTAAGAATAGGTCATTTCTGAAGAAGAAATTTAAGTAATTATTATACAGAAAGTGCTTTTTTAGTCCAGAGACCCAGCTAAAGGATCTATGTGTGATTTTAATTAGATTAAATTTTTCTAGTGCCTCTTGGTTAATTACTTGCTGTAATTATGTAAATGATGTAAATGAGCATTTGTGTTTAAATTATTACTTGGTTGTTGAAAACTTGATTTGAGAATTGCTGTCATATGCCAATTTAAGATAAACACTAATTTGATACTGGACATTGTTAGGAAAGATTTAATTATAAAACTAGCAGTATGAAAAGAACCTTAAGGAAGAATAAAATTCTGCCCTTATGTAGTCAAATCCAAGGTAATCTCTTGATTTTTGTTGATTTTATTTGCTATTCAGAGAAAAGCATTTGGTAAGCTTTGACAAGCAAATTGTTATTTAAGAGATAAAATTTGTAATAAAATGAGTATTTGTATCACTGAAGCAGAAGATGTATTACAGTGCCTTTTTTAATTGATTTAAGATTTTTATAACTGTAAGTAAGAGTAAGAGTACCTTTGATCCTGCCTTTTTGCTGTGTTGTATTTTGTTTAACTGAAACTGATTTAAATAACTAGTTAGAAAAATTAAAAAGTACATTCATATTTGATAGTTCCTTAGGAACTATCAATAGATTGAAATTTCATGTTTGGAAACTATACAAAATACATTTTAAAAAGAAAAGATGTTTTATTTTTAAATACTAATGGATGCAAGCCTTTCTCCCAAGGAGGACACAAACTATAGCATAGAGAGACATTACAGAGGCATCTGGCTAACCTTAATAATAACAACCCTTATTAGGCAGTGTGTTCCAATGAACAGGAGCCTATCTTGTAGTGTATACTGGAAGCTTAATAATTTTTGAAAGAATCAGTTTTCTTTATAGAACTCAATTCATTAAAATAGAATTCTTCTACTTCAAAAAAAAAATGAAGGTTGTGTATATATAAGAACAGTAATACAGGCTTTTAAAAACAGGTCATTGATTTTAGGTATCTCTACTTTTTTTACATTTAATATTTCAATCATTAACCCGGTGTAGTTTGATCTGTTACCATCTTTCCCTTGAAACTTCTCTGATTACCAATGGCTTAGTGGTTAAATCCAAGATACCATCTTTTGCTCTTTATCTTACCATTGTTTTGTAGTATTGGATACTATTGATCAACCTGCCCTTGAATCTGTCACTTCTTAGCTTTTGTGACATCTCTGTTCTCTAGTTCTCCTGCCTACCTCCGTTTCTTCTTGGTTTAGATCTTTTTTCCTTACGCCTTGCTCTTTCTAAAGTGTTTTCTGTCCTTTCTCCCGTTACTTGCTCTAAAACATCTCTTCTGATAGCTTTAACCATTAAATTTGTGTACTAAACTCAGATTTCTGCTGAACTTGCAGTCTGTTATCTTTTGAACATCTCTGTTTGGATATTCCAAAGATATCTAAAAATAATCGAATGAAGTGGTCCAGTTTAAATGTCCTTCAGACAGATTAGTTCTGAAGTACAAAAGAGGCTTTGGTATTAGTTTTGTCTGACAGGCATTCTTACAGTTGTTTCACTGAAGCTATCAATTAGAATGACTGGCCTCATTTAGACATGGAAAAATTAAAACTAACGAGTCCATATTATACCGGTTAGGAAGGAGCTTGGGCTCTGAAGTTAATAAGATACGTATTTGATTCATATGAAAACTGGTTTGTGGTAGAAATTAATTAAGGCTATAGTCCTGTTAAACATGGGATTAATCCAGAGAATAATAGAGTAGGCCAGGAGCTCTTTATTTGAGTTTTAACACTTTATCAATGAAACCCTCCCCTGCCCTCTCTTTTTTCCCCTGGACTAGCAAGAATATTTTTTTTTGTCTAACACATTTAAAATTTTTACTTTTAACAGAAATTAGCAGAGTACGGAAAGACATGTACAATGACACATTAAATGGCAGTACAGAGAAAAGGAGTGCAGAATTGCCTGATGCTGTGGGACCTATTGTTCAGTTACAAGAGAAACTTTATGTGCCTGTAAAAGAATACCCAGATGTAAGTATATTTTGTTGTTTTATTCAATTTTGTTCTACTTCACGTATTTTGGGAAGAGTATATTTGGTGGTAAATACTTAAGCATTATTAGCCACTTTTTAAAAGTCAGTCATCAACTGAAGTGTGAAAAATTTAGCATGGATAATTTAAAAAAATTCTTTATAAATACTGTTTCCATTTTATTGCTGCTATGTCACTTTGGAAATGCGCATGGTATAGACTCTTTTGGGTTTCAAAACGGGGTGAGGAATTGTGGAAGACACTTTGGCCTAACTGCCACAGAGCACCAAGCACAACTCTGCTCATCTTTAATCTGACCTTCAAGAAGCCACAGTTTGGGCCACAGCATTCTTTCTGTAAAATGAAGATGTTGGACTAGAAGGTTCCTTTCAACTCTAAAATTTTTGTTGAAACCACTGTTTGTAATCTGATTTCCCCCCATCTTAGTCCATTGTTCAACTACCCTCTATAAGCATCTTGTTGTGAATAGCCTCCTTGTCCTATGTCTGTTAATTTCTAAATAAATCCAGATTCTTTGCTTTTTGTTACAAAACCCCATATCCTATGGCCCATCCTATTTCTCTGACCTCATCTTAAGTGATTTTCCCTCCTCTTTACCACACTATAGTCACATTGGCCCTCTTTTGGCTTTTAGAACAAGTCAAGTCTACTCCCAGTCTTAGGGACTTTTATGTTATTTGCACTCAGATCTCTATTGGCTGGCTGCTTCTTATCATTAAGAATTTAGCTCAAATGTCACTTCAGAGAGGCTTCCCCTGATCATTTAATTTAAAAGCCATCTAGCTACTCACTGTTTCACATTGTCTTTTTTTTTTTCTTTGCAATAGCACTTATAATTGGGCATTTTTTCTGATTTTCTCTCTCTCTCTGTCTCCCCCCAAAAATGTAAGGTGTACATAAAATAAGAACCTTGTCTTTCTTATTCACTACACTGTATTCCCCCATGATACTGGCATATAATAGGCAGCAATACCTGTTGAATAAACTAAGAAAAGATATTGGCTTTTTGTTAAGTTTCAGAGGACGTTTATGAAAGCAGATGAAAAAAGGAGTGTAATGTCAAAAATATGCTCTGCTTTATTGGTTATGTGAACAGAATAGTGTGTAGATGAGAAATAAATGTCTTAAGTTGAATTAATAGGAAAAAGCTTAGGTATTTTACAGTTTCATGACAATTTGCAAAATTTGATCTGATACTCTGTTTTAAAAGTTATATGCATTTACTTTTTATAGGTATTTTTGGTTGCAAATACACAAATAGTCTTGGATAATGTAGGTAAAAGAGGAGTTTATTGGAAGATTATTGAGTAACACAGAGGATTAAAAGAATAGCTGGAAAACAAAATGTCATGTTAGGCTAGGAACCAGGGCATCTAAGAATTGAGCAGCGAGAGTTTATGGAACTTCTCGATTGAGAGCCTTGCTGGCATAACTTGGCATCAGTGCCTCCCAGGCATTTATCTTTTAAATTCAGATTCTTAGAAGAGTGAATGTGTTTTGGGCCTTTCTGACTAGGGAAGTGAGGTTACCTACCATTACCTAGACATGACCACTGAGCCTACCCTAGGTATTAGGATTATTTCTAGAGATGTGAAATTGTGATTTGTTCCAATTAGGGCCTACTGCTGTTAGGTTTTTCACTATCCCAAAATGATATCAACTGTCTGTTTTGTTTATTTAAACCTTAGGGGATGATGTTTCAGCAGTGAGCGTTAACATAGAATAGGCAAGACCATAAGGCTGTGATAGAGAATATAATGTTAACCTGTCTGGTTCCATCTCTTCTTAAAAGAAGAAATCCTATTCAAGGAAGAGATATTTATGCATTCTTTAAAAGACATGTGTTTCATACAGCCTTCCAAGTCAGGACTTGAGTCTAGAGGGTACCTGTTCACTATAATCCTTTCCTTCCTCCTCCACTTTTGTGACTTCTTGCCATGGTGAACTACTGTTGCTGACAGGTGTGTTGGAGCATGACATTTGTTTTGATCAGTGACTCTCAAAACACACTCCTTGGACCCTAGTATTGGGAACTGTAAATGTTCAAGCCCCTTTCCATACTTACTGAATCAGAAACTTAGGGGTAAGGGTGAGGCCTAGCAATCTGACCGTTAAGCCCTGTACATAATTCCAATGGATGCTGAAGTATGAGAATCATTCCTTTACAAACTTTTTGTTTCTAAGCGGGGGCAGGGTCAGCCAGGCTAACAGGTAGGTGGTCATGTACCTGGTCATTTTGCCAGGTATCGTTTCAGGAGGCCTTAAACATGGTAAAGTGATGAACTAAACGATGTCACTAGTCTCGTGGAGTGGACATTTCAGTGGCAAAGACAAACAAGAAATGAATCTATAGCTGTAATCAGTTTTATGGAGAAACATAAAGTGGGGTAGACAGATGAGTAGTGACTGTGCATGGAGGGAGGTATTCATTTTTAAGGGTAATCAGGAAAGAAATCTCTTCTAATATGATGGGAATGGAGAGACAGGAACAAAATGATGGGAGGAAGGCATGAAAACCATTTGAGAGAAAAACATTCCAGGCAGAGCGAACAGTAAGTACAGCTGACTCAGGCAGAAACATGCTTGGGAAGTGTTGTAAGATGTGAGGTTAGAGAGTTAGCAGAGGGGCAGTATCATGCTGTGGTCAAAAGTAGGAACTCAGATTGAGACTTCTAGCTAGTTTTGCTGCTTGTTTTGTGACTTTGGTACTACATCTTGATCTTAACCAAAAAGGCTGGGAAGTGATGTAGTTTTGTGACTTTAAACAAATTACTTTTCATTCCTTGTTATTAGTTTTCTCATTTCTGTAATGGAGATATTAAACCTCTCAAGATTATGACGACTAAAGAGTAAATATGAGTGAAGCAGTTGGAAAAGGTTTTTATGCTGTGTGTTACAAGAGTGTAAGCTCTATGAGGGCAGGAATATTTTTGTCTTTCAGTGCTGTATTTCCAGTGCTTAGAATAGCGTCTGGTAAATAGTATATGCGCAGTAAGTATTTGTTGTGCATGTTTGTATGAAACTCATTCTTTCAAATGTTGTTAAAATTTTTTTTCTTTAAACTTGTCTTCTGCATTTGCACATAGCGCCTTACTTACGGAAGTCAGTGTTAGAGGTAGTGTTTTGGACTTAGCTGTGCAGCACTCTGAAACTAATAGGAGAAGACAGTCTTAAATGCAAGGTCTGAGAAATGAAGCAGTGCTGTAGTGCCCTTTCCAACTTTTTGAAGTTTGGCCTAATGATGTGAGGATGAGAAGCTAATATGAACAGGCCATTGAAAATGTATTAAACTTTTTACATAATGAATATTTATTAATAAAGCAGACATCTATTGCATTTACTGTGTACCAAGCACATCCTGGGTAAGAATATTTAATTCATTTGAAATAACTCTTTGATATAATCAAGTCAATAGGTTTTTGAATCAGTTAGGCCTAGGTTTGGAATTTTAGCTTATCCAGCTTTTGGCTGTATTTGTCAAAAATTGCCACAATAATGCTCCATGATAAAACACTCTAAAACTTGGTGACTTAAAATAATAGGCATTTATTTCTGTGCTCAGGGGTCTGTATGTTGGCTGAGGATCTGCTGATTAAGGCGGAGTCTAGCCTGATTGAGGCTAGCTGTGGAGGGGTTTAGATCTTCTCCATTTATGTTCCTGCTGGGCCCAGGGTAAAGGGGGTTGTGGCTGCTAGGGCACACTCTTATTGCAGGTCACTGAAATGCTAGATTCAAGCCAAATAGTATAAGCATGTATAAGACCTCTGACCTCTGCTCTTGTTCTTTTTCATTAGTCCAGTGATTCTCAGCTGGTGACAGTTTTACCGCTGGGGATGTTTGGCAATGGCTAGGGGTATTTTTGGTGTTTAAACTTGGGAGGGGGTACTATCAGCATCTATTGGGTAGAGTCCAGAGATATTGTTAAACATTCTACAGTGCACAGGATAGTCAACACCTGTGCCCTTCCAGCTACCCAACAAAGAATTATCTGGCCTTAAATGTCAGTAGTGCTGAGGTTGAGAAACCCTGCATTAGTGATATTAAGTCACTTCATTTACAATGAGAAGGGAATTCAAATAAGTGTTTGCCGAAAAATAACTTGATATGATCATATTGGCTTTGAGTATTTGTCTGCTTTTTAGAATCTGTTGTCTATTAAGTTATAAGGTTCACTTCATAGGTTTGTTTGGAGAAGTAAAGGCAACAAATGTGTGACACCTGATAGAGGCAGGCATTCAATATGGTTTTTGTGATTACGCATAAGAAAAATAATCCTGTCTTGAAGGAGTTCAGTCTTGTATGAAAGATAAAAGATTAAATTATTTAAGAGTTTAAGCTTCTCATGCATTCATAAAACTACAGACATGAAAAAATATTGAAGTTATATTTAGACCATCAAACGGTTTATTCAACTGGTCAAGTTTTTAAGGACTTGCTTGAATCCATGGAGATGTTATAAATGATATATGAATAGAGTTAACTAAGTAAAATTGTTATATTTTGAATGAGTCAGTAATAATTTAGTCATTCAGTTTGCCTAGTTATCAATTTTAAGTTGTTAGAGATTGTTCTATAGGATCTGCCAGAGTAGTAGACTTGCTAAATATTGGCAAGATCTAGCTGTTGGTGATATTAGTTGTCCTGTTAAACACATAAACAGATTGGGTTGGTAAACTCTTCCTTTAGATATGATGATTAAATTGTAGTGAAACATTTTGGAGTTTTGTGTGAATATAATTCTGATTTTCTAATATTTTTAAAAGGGGCTTTAATTTTGAATAATAGCTTTGAAAGGCATCCCTTGGGTCTAGGCCATTGTGAATACCCATATTGTCAAAGGTTTTGTAAGATAGACAAATGTCTTTTCAAGGATTGTGTTTTCAACCTGTAGGATCCCAGCCTGGTTGCTGTAGTCAGTAGTTTATAGATTCATAATATTATTCATGGTGCACTCTGCTGTCTCTCTTATAATAATAACC